GAAGTGTGTGAGATAAGTTGATAGTTTGAGGGGTTCAACTTGCAGCTTTTTTTGAAAATAGGAGTAATTTCGGCTTTTTTTCCATTGAGACGGTACTTCTCTAGCTTTAAGCAATTCAGAGAAGATAATGCTCAGTGGGATAGCAAAACCTGCAGCAAAATATTTCAGGACGTGTAGATGAATACCGTCAAAGTCCATTGATTTGTATTTATTCAGGTCCTAAAGTTTTTCTTTGACGGATTCGTATAATGCGAGTGTGGGTGGTTGGTTTATGCTAGTGAAACGAGTGTTGAATGTTGGTATAGACCCTAAGGTTCGATTCCGAAAACTGATTGGAAATGTTCGTTAAGAGTGTTCAGATTACTTTAGGATCTGTTGTAGTTTAATTATTATTTGTTTCAAGTTGACGGATGCAATCGTGTGATCAAGCCGTCAAAAGCCGAATGCCAGCCAAATGTTTTGATACGCGTAGAGATTAAGTTGTAGTCGGATTTGTTCCAAATCAGACGCTTCTTGTAGACGTTAGAGGAATCAGTTATTTCTAGCTCTTTAGTTTTGAAATCAATGAGAGCTATACTTACTTCGATAAGGCAGTGTGCTTGACTTTTGGATGTGTGGCCGAAAGGACTAGCTTCTTTTATGTTCATTATTTGGTCTGGTTTGTTAGTCAGGAACAAGTCTAGAGTATTTTTTTGCGAGGTTCCTCGCGAGGAACCTCGCACATAATTAGCTCGATTCGCTGGAACTAGAAAAGACAATATATTGAAATAAAGTCTTGACTATTAAGAAATAACACTAGATAGACTTCGAGAAGTATATTTTTGACAAGTTTCTAATTTATTTAAAAACGAATAATTTGAAAGTTTTACACAAACTTACGAAACAAAGTTTATTGTAACTATAAAATATGAATATTTTGGTTTTAGGTTAAAGTAGTGCGCAGATAGTGCTCCGAAATTGACACTGCAGCCCTTGTATAAGTGCAATTAAATACGGGCCGGTCAAACAACGGATTAAAGAAACTTGTTAGAACTGTAAAAAAACGTAAAGCAGCAAGATGGTAGAGCGATATTTCTACATAAACTTTCTAAGACTAGGTCAACAAATGAGCGATTTTTTCACCTGCAGCAACTTAAAAATCACAGACGAAAAAACAGATTCTTGTACAGTTCATGTTGTTGCTCACTGTAATGATTTGTCAAGTTTTGTGAATCATGTTATTCAGTCCCGCAAAATTTCTGGTGGCTATTTTGTTAAGCTCGGAATTAATGGTATCAAAGATTTTCTCAAGTTTTGCCTTAGCATTGTTGATACTACGTTAAGGTATGAAACCAGCTCACCGCACCAACAACAACCTCTCACTCAAAAGTTTGGTACAGAAACTGAAGTCAAGAGACAAATTATTGTTGGGGTTTCAGAAGATTTGCCAGAAACACATTCTAATATTAAACAAATCTGGTCACTGATTAATGCAAATGGAGAAAATTGCAAATATTATTTGTGGTCTATAAACTCATTCAAGTACGCACCCTTGCACCTGATGTGACGTCATATCCAATTGTCTTGCCAAATTTAGAAACTTGCGAACACTGGGCTCAATTAATTCAAGCCTCGAGTATTTTCAACAATCTGGCGGGGTTGTTGCTAATGCAAAGCTGTTTGGAATGTCATTCAAAAGCCAATCATCTGCGGGACTTTCATTGTTCTGATTTTGGAAATCATTCTATCGATGGAATAGCATCTCCTCATAGAAGTTGTCAACCATCTTTTCAAGATCCTTAAAACTGCTTGGATAGAAGCTGTTAAGTGGCCAGCCGCCCTCCACATTTCAAAGAGCCCGTATCACGGTGGCTAGTTTGAGGAAAATGAATGCAGAAAGCTTCTTAAAAATGTGGATATGCTGCAGCAACATGCTAAGACAAACATGTTTTTTAATACTGTGTGCATAATTGAAGCATTCAACAGCTTCAACATTGTTGTCAAGACTTGCATTGAATACATCCTTCCGCCAGATTTCGCTAAAAAAATTGTAAATTTCAAAAAGTGTTACCTAATGATAACTGGTGCAAGCGTAACACCCAAAATTCACGCCGTCTTCTACCACATCAAGAATTTCATCAGTTACAAAGGGTTCTCCTTGGGGTCCTATAATGAACAAACTGTCGAAACTTCTCATTAAGATTTTTATCAACATTGGTTGAGGTAAAAGCGAAATAATAATCATCCAGAGTACAAAGAAAGATTAATGCGCTGCATTATTGATCTAAACAGTAAGCATCTTTAAAGAACATTATTTGAGTTATTAGAAATTAGGCTGCTGAAATTCATATTTTACGGCGTATATTGAATATTTTCACCATCTTTAAAAGTAGTATTAGAGAGTATTTGTGTTAAAAAAGTATATTGAGCTATTTATTAATAATCTTTTGGTGAAAAAAATCAAAAAAACATTTCTTAAAATGTAGTTAGATACTTGATGGTAATACAATTTAAAAAATATTAAAATTAAATAGTTTTCACTTAATTTTAAAAGTAAATGTTTTTAAGAAGGTCAATATAAAATTTTTTAAGAGATCTTCTTTTTTTTGTTTTACTAACTGGTAGTCCTTTAACCAGGTTTTGGACTTTTTTTTATCTTTTTATTTTTTTGCAGCAGTTTATACCTTAGAAAATGTTGGTATATTCAAGCGAAGCATACATGACCGTCAACGCCGGGGAGGCTAAAGGGTCATGTCCTTTTCTACTTTTTTTTTTGCAAGGACCTTTTGTTTTAGAAATATAGACAATTATTTTAGAAATTATGGGTTTTAATTTAGAAATTGAGGGGTTGACACCCTCCACTTTGAAGGCCGACAATTTTTTAAATTACGCTTTATGTAGAAAATCACTTTTTTGGTCTATAAAATGAAAACTGCTCATGTTCTGAAAAAATACTTATAACAAAAATTGTTAGTAATACATAGTAGAACACTCATGTAACCGTTATTTTAAAAATAGTGGCCTAAATTCAAAGTAATCGGTAACGCTTTGGGGAATAAGTAGCAAAAAACTGTCAAAAATACAACTAAAACTGCAATAAATCCTACACCAGTCGTCTAATCAGGCTGAGATTTTGTCCAGAGTTTGATTTGACTATTGGCTACATTTGCACTAATTTTTATCAAATTATATTGTCTGGTTCAAATTCTTCAAGTGTTTTTATTAACGCACTATGAAGTCAAAATTTGACTTATTTTGAACATTTAAATTAAATTGCTTCCCGCGGACAAAAAATTAAATGATTTAAAAATTTGCGTCGCAGGGTGCGTTGATGTGTACGCTAACTTTTCGTATAAGTTGCGTTCTTGGGACAGCTAGGTAGGCATTATAGGGATCCGTGCTAACCGTGACGATCATAATGTTTATGTACGACATTTCTAATTATGGGTATTTTCGTATTTATACGGGATATTGCTTTTTTACAACTTTTAATTATAGATTTTATAATTTTATAAATTTTTTACTTACAATTTTTTGCGTAATATAACGGACAAATTGTGTAAAACCGCAAAATTTTTTAAATTGAATTTTTTATTTTTGGCTAATTTTTCTGAATTCTACAGGAAACTTGTTTACTTTTTTTAACAATTTAAAACAACTGTCAATTTCCATTTTAGTACTTTGCTTAACTTTGACAAATAAATTCACTTGAAACAAAATGTAATAATAATTACACAAACAAAAAAAGAAAGTAAAACCATGAATTGCTTTTGTAGAACGAAAACGCCGAAGTAAAAAAAAATTTCAATAATAGGACAAAATCAAATCAGATTCCTCTTATAGATTCTAATGTAGAAAATAAATAAAAATAATGTAGAAAAATTTTTATGTAGTTCTTAATGAATAAAAAAAACTCCGTTGATGAATCATCAATAAATTCAACTCAATTTCAATCAATTTTTTAAATTTAACCTATAATGAATTTAAAGCATTAAAATGAAATAAAATAACTAGGCCTGATGGTATAAATGGGGTTATTAACTCTTTTGAGGTGATTAAAGATGTCCTTTATATTGTTTTTAAAGCATCTATACTAATTTGGATCCTCGCAATCGAATGGAATTCCATTCAATTGCAAATGAAATACGTATATTATTTTAACAAACTTTATGAACTCTAAAGAGACCTTTAGTTTAAGATTGGGAAAATAGGACTTTTATAATAAGAAAGTTTCTAGTAGTAGCCCATTTGTTTAGTTTCTTATATTTAAAAAAAAAGGTACTTTAGTTTAGCGTTACATGTTTTATATACATTCACTCAAGAATTCTTTCGTCCAGAATTAATATGGGAATTATAGTTCAATCGTTAATGATCGTTCTAAATAGAATTGTGCAGACTGTTAATAACAATTTAAAGGGAATTGTTGAAACTATCAAGTTGTTAATAATTGTCCAAGAGGTCCGAGAAAAACTCTTGAAAAGTTGAACTGAACAAAACAAACACGTGTGTATTCTTTTGTTTAGATTTAGGTTTTATACTTATTGGCAGCCCTAATAGAGAAATTGATTTTAGCTGTTAAAAAGATTTAACACTTATTTATATGTAAAGTCAATCGGTAGATGGTAATTAAGCTTAAATATTAAATCATCCGTTTTAGACTTATTTTTTAAATGAATGAATCCATTTTAGTGGCGTGAACTGACGAATAGATCGAATTCCTGAAATGGTGGGAGTTTTTCACACCTGGTTGCTAAAATACTCTAAACCTTTTGCATTCTTTTTTTCAAAACATACACAAAATAACAATACCTTTTATGCAAAACAAATTTTATATATTTTGATTGCATATTTGAATATTTATTGGAAATTTTTTAAAAAGACATTTACGTTAAAATCTTCTTGACTACTTTAAAAAGTATTTTTTGACATTTTTACCATGCAAAACTCCAAAGAAAATTTACCTTGCAAAACCCTAAAGGAAATTGCAAACCAAAAGAATGTCATAAGTAAATAAAGAATGATTAACTTTGCACACCTTTTCTGACATTAAAAAAACATTAAAAAAACACACAATAGGAGCTAATAGTTACTCAATGAAAAATAAAAGCTAACTAATATGATATTTCAAACTTTAGAAATTTCAAAAAAGTCGTTATTAAACTTTTACAATAATAGGTTCTAACGTCAAAGGAACAAAAAAATCTTTAAAAGATCTACATTGCATCAGATTTGCTTTGCCATTCGATAAATCTTTATAAATGCTATCTGTGCATGCGTAATAAATAATAGGGGGATTGAAACCATTAAATTTTGTTGCCAGACATGTGGCGTACGCACCCATGTTTTCAAAATACAACCAATCTCCAATAGAAAGCTGTAAAAAATATTTTTTAATATTTAAAGCAATAATTAAAAAAATTTTTTCTCAAAAAATCATAAAAAATAAACAAAAAAAAAAAACATTTAAAAAATGTTTACATACCTAGTACATACACAGTCAACACTCCATACTTATTCATTCCTGGTACATACATGGTAAAAATACTTTAGTTAATACATACCTGTTAGATACATAATCAACATTCCTTTTATATTTCGTATCTAGTACATTCAAGGAGAACAGACCTTACTTATAAAACACCTGATACACACACGATAAACCTTAACTATTGCAAAGCTGAAACATACATCATAAACCTTGACTTGAATATACCTGGTACATTCATAGCAGACATACTTTACTTATAACATACCTTAGGTAAATACGTTTCTTCCGAAATGCAATCGCATGAATCGCATGTTGGTCCCCAAACGCTGCTTTTGAATAGCAAATGAGTTTTTGAATCATTAAGTGGAACTGGTTTGAACTTCTCAGAAAAAAGAACGCATAAAAATGAATTGTAAACTCCATCGTTTAAGTAATACATAAATTCCGTTTTCTTGTCATCGACAACCTTTCTTACAGAAGTCACATTACAGCATAGTGTAAATGCAGACTCAACAAAATATTTTCCCGGTTCAGCAATTATACTTAAATTCATTTCTGGAGGAAAAAACTCGGCTATACTAAGGTTTAACTGAGCTGCAATCTAAAGAAAAAAACATTATTTAGTATTATAAAAAACAGAAATTAGAATTTAATTTTATATAATAAAGTTCTTAACCTAACATTATTGAGTAATTAAGCCCTTAAAAAACTACGCATGAATAATTTGAACTAAAAAATGCTTATAAATTGTATTTCAAAAAACTTGTCTATATTCGTTAAATTATTCTTTATTCCAAATTATAAAATTTTTTATAACTTGCAATAACAAATGATAGTTTGATTTGATTGACACTTTGATTTTATTTAAATTTTTTCAAAGATACAAAATCCTTAACTTCCTTGATGAAATTCACTGGACCAAAAAGACCGGTAGGTTTTATATCTCAAATGAAACGTTTTTTTATTCAAATGTATTTGACTTATAAAAATAGAAATGAAATTTTTAAGATTTATAAATGGACCTTGAAGAAAAATTTGAAAGGGTCTTAACACATTTAAGATTTAAAATAACATGAAAATATTGTTAAATTACCATGAATATATTTTTAGATATATATTGGTATAATATTTAAAATTTAAATGGTTCTTGCTTCTTTGAAAAAAAAGGTAAAATAAAAATTATTATGTTAATATTATAGATAGATATTATAACAATTTGGATGGTTTTTGTAATAATTTAGATGGTTATTATAGCAATTTGAATAATTATTATAGCAATTTAAATGGTTATCGTAATAATTTGGATGATTATTACAACAATTTGGATGGTTATTGTACCTATTTGAATGGCTATTCTTGTAAGTTGGATGGTTATTATAGCAACTTGAATGGTTATTGTAATAAGTTGGATGGTTGTTATATTAATTTGAATGATTAATATAGCAATTTGTATGGTTATTATAGCCATTTAGATGGTTATTACAGCAGTTTGAATGATTAAGTTAGACGGCAATTATAAAAATTTGAACGGTAGTTATAGCAATTTGGATGGTTATTTTGATAATTTGGCTGATTATTATAATAATTTTGATAATTATAGAGAAGCGAAAAACATCTTTGTGTGCGAGGAGTTACAAACGCCTATGTGTAATGCAAGTGAAAAATTATGAAGAAAGAATTTTATTTAATTTCTTACATTATCCATTGAAATTTTTCCATTTTTTACACCTGGAAATCCACCACCTATATCCAATAATGTGAAGTTATAACCAAGGATTTCCTATGAACAAGAAAATTAAATATCATCTCAATAAAACCATTTTTTACATTAGAGGTTGACATTTACTTACCCCTTGATTAAATACAGCAGCTGCAGATTTCACTGCACTGTAAAACAACGAAGCATCATAGCAACCAGTACCAACATGAAAGCTAAATTAAATTATTCCTAAAATTTATTAATTCTGCAGATAATGTTCGTTTAAGTGTTTAAAAGAGTAGTTATTTTTTTTCCTTGTTAAAGGTTTTTAATTTATATTTAAATTTAAAAAAAATATTTAGACATTAAAAAAGTTTAGTATGGAAAATTTCTATAATCATAACTATCTGCTTAGTTAATAATACATTTAAATGTTGTATAGCAAGTTGCTAATTGGATGAATCAACTAAAATCAGCAACCACATAAGTTTTTTATTTTTGCAGAAAATTCAAATAAGAAATTACTTTAAAGTGCCACAGAGATGTAACTTCTCACGTGTAACTTCTTTACTACTTGTTGCAAAAAGATCACCGTGATGATACTTTTAGATCCAGTGTACAAAAATGAAAAATTTCTCAACAAACATAAAACATATTTATTAGAAGATTATGAAGTGTTCAAGTAAAAGCAAGAATTATATTGTTCAAACAACTTTTCACATTACTCAGTATATTTTTTTAGATAAGAAAAAGTAATCAGAATTAAGTTTTTAGCTTAAAATTAAACTGAGGGCTTTTTGCATGTGCTCATAAATCTTAGTCAAAATAATATTAAGGTTAATTTCTTGTCTAAAGTTTCTTGTTCAAAAAAATCAGTGTTAATTAAATTTTGTCAAATGAAACCTATTGCTATAACCTAATGATGTTCTTTCTTTTATAGACAAAATCCAAATGAATTGTAAACATAGTTTAATATGCTTTATCTGTCTAGCTTGAGCCACTCACCCATTGTCTTAAGGTTGCATTCTTTCTCTTTTCTACAATTACTATCATAGTTGCTCTTCAAAGGAGCTTTCATCTCTAATTCAATGAACCAAAACTCGTTTTTGCTCTAATACCACAGACTTTGCTAGCACTAAAGCCTTAATTGTAATAATTTTTTCACCTTTTTCAAAAGGATAACTCTCTTGAGAGCAAACGGCAATTTATTATTGCATGAAATTGATGTAAAAATGTATTGCTGATAAGCTCCGTTATTCTAATTTCACTAAATCTTGCATCTTATCTTAGAAGTTAACAAGTCATTAACAAAGGTTTAAGAAGGGTTGGTCTAACATTCTATCTCTCATTCAAGACTGATCTTATAAGCTCTCTTGAAGATAGAAAACGACAATTTGTAAAGAACTTTTTTTTCTATTTTGACTCTTGTATCTTATGGCCATACTCTTTCTGCCATTCGAATTAAACAGGTTAACCATTGTTAGACATTCAAATAACTCCAGTTTTCATTTTTAAAATCATGTTTTAATTAAAATCTTCTACAGATTATGGCCCAGATAACAATTCTGTTACAATTTGAAAAAATTGTTTTCCAGAAACCTCCTTAATCTTTTTTAAACTGTTTATCATCAGTTGTTCCGATTTTAAAAAACTCCAGAGAACATTCTGACTGCTCCAACTATTTTATGATCAGTCTTCTTTTTGTTATTAGCAAGGTCTTTGAGTCTGTAATCGACAAATTACATCTTGAGTCAAATAACTTACTCACACCTCATCTTGAGTCAAACAACTTACTGTCAGACAATCAACACGGCTTTCAATCCTCTCCCTTTACGTCTAACGTGCTAAATGTAATTTTATCATGCATAAGTCGGAGGCGGAGAGGCTAGAGCTATTATTCTTGAGATATCTAAAGCTTTTGACAAAGTTTGGTATGTTAGTCTACTCCATAGACTTGTTTATGACATGTTGTATTTGGGAAAGTTTTCGAGATTATCAAACCATTTCTTTCTAAGCGCTTTATTAAAGCCAACATTCTTCTTCATTTCCAGTAATTTCTGAGGTAACTCAAGGTATTATCCTTGAGGTACCTCATCAGCATAAATATTGCTGTCATAATACTAATAGCCAACCCTCTCTAAAAATATTATCTCACTCTTCTTCATTATGAAAATCTCTCTATCATTGTACCTCTTACAACTACCTAAAGGCTGACTGGGACACTGTGATACTGTGATTTTCTTTGTGATAGCTCTTGGGTAGAAAGCTTTCATCTTCCTGCTTAAAAATGTGCTTCTTACATAACTTCTAGGATTCAGGCTGGCATGGAATCTTTAATCACAATTAACAATTCTAAGTCAGGTCTCACTCTTCTTCATGGTTTTCCTCACCTTGTACTGCTCCAATTTTCAATCGAAACCATTACTTCCATATCATTCAGCGAAAACAGTTCTCTAGAAAAAAGAGTTGCTCTACTACTGCTAGAAAATATTATAAAAAGGTCTAACGCCAAAGCTCGTTATTTTCATGTCACAAAAACTAATATTTCATATCAAAAATTAGGCTCTTGTGACATTTGGAGAATCTTTAACAGTATCTTTAATAAGGGCAAATTTGTTGTTCCACCTCTATTGTATTGTTCAGATTTTGTAACCTCCCCTAATTACAAAGATGGATTGTGTGCTAAGAACTTGTCATCAATATCATGTCTTAATTCCACTAATTACATTTAACTTGATATAGCAGATCTATTGCTTGACATTTGCAAACAAGCAGATCTATTGCTTGACATTTGTATCACAACAGTTTCTCTATTTAAAGTGATATCCCGCTTAGAATCTTCTTCAGCACGTATCCGGACAACATACCTGTTAGAGAAATGCAGAATTGTTCTCAGGAGCTGTCGTCTATACTTTCAAAACTATTTCACAAGTGCTTATCACAGATATTTTTCCAGCCTGTTGGAAAGCGGCATCTGTTACTCCTTTATTCAAAAACACTGAAGAGCAATCTGACTTGATTAATTACCGTCCAATTAATCTTCTTACTATTATAAGCAAGGTTTTTGATTCTTTAGTTTACAAACACTTAATCTTTCATCTCGAATATAATAATATACTTTCTGATCAATAATATAGATTTCAATCTTCTTGATCTACAGCTGATTTGCTAACACTAGTAACCGATAGGTTTTATCATGTATTAGATAGATGTGGAGAGGTTAAGGCTATTGGTCTCAACATTTCTACAGCTATTGATAAGGTTCGACATGCTGGTCTTTTCCATAAGCTTTCTTCTTACGTTGCATCAGGTAACATCTTTAAGTTTATTTATTCCTTCCTTACCTTCCTCATATATAAATGTTTTCCTCGATAGAGAGCACTTTTATTTATATCCTGTAACTTCAGAGGTTCCTCAAGGTTCTATCCTTGACCCTATTCTCTTTTTTATTTACATTAACGATCTTTCAGAACTTCTCACATTTAAGATGGCATTGTTCGCTGATGATACCATCGATAAAAAGTCAACAGTCTCTGATTGCCTGGAGGGGGCATTTGAACCTTGTAAAGGATCTTGAATCTTGTAAAGCATGGGCTCTCAATGGTAGTTGAACTTTAACTCAAATAAAACTCAATTTTGTTTAATAATTATTATCGCAATAATCTAGATTTTCATATATTTATGAACGATAATGTATTCGATGAGTCATCTACCCTTTATCTCCGGACTAACTTTTTTTCCAATCTTTCTTGGAAAACATATATCAAATTCATTACAAAATTAGCAACTGGTAAGGTTGCATATCTGTATTGTGCTCGCCACTATTTTAGTCTCGATTCAATTCTTAATCTCTATAAATCTCAAATCCGTGCTTGTATGGAACACTATTGCAATATCTAGAGCGAATCTTCGAATGATACCCTTTCTCTTTCAGACAAGATGCAAAAAGGCATTGCAAACATAGTTGAACCTTCTCTTGCAGCCAACCTCCAACCATTATCACATTGCCATAATGTTGCTTCACTTTTTATTTTCTACAAATACTATAATGGGCACTGCTCTAAAGAGCTAGCGTCTTTTGTGCCATATACTAAAAATCATTTTATTACTTATCATAAATTTTATTATATACATACATAGTTTTACTTATCATTTAATTATTTATTTTGCTGATCCTTCCTAAGTGCTCTAAAAATCCTTATTTGTTTAGCTTTTTTTCCTTAAAGATCAGTTCTTTGGAATTTGTTTCCTTTATCTTGTTTTCTGATTCGTATAACTTTACATAATTCATATGAGTTGTTTGTCAATCTTTATCTTGCTTTATAAACTTTATCTTTTCCTTTCCAAAAACTTCCAATTCTAATAGTGGTTGCCTGCATCCTTGTTGGAGGTAAAGATGTTTAAAAAAAAAATTCTCAGTAAACACAGGATTGTGTAGATTTGATCAATATTTAATCAAAATTAGTTAAAAAAAGGGATAAAACGTTTAGCAAACAATTATTGACCAAAGTTAGGCAGTTGAATTCGATCTACATTTAGTGTATACGTTTATCTAACGTTGATTAAATGTTTACATTGTTGACTAATTCAAGTCAAATTTATAAATATTTAATAAACCTATACATTAGGAAAACTAATGTTCACATCATAAACCAATTAATCTGTGTTTATTAAACGTCAATTCAATGTTTACACAAGTGAGTAACATAATTCAATATTGCAAACGTTATTAAACGCACATTTAAAGGATTGGAGCAGTTTTGCAATTACAAAACTGGCTAACTTGTGTTTATGGTCCAGATAACAATCCTGTTAAATATATTTTGAAAAATCTATATAACAAGTTAATATATTTTCGATGATTTTATTTAAATGGTATATTTTAGTTTACTGGACATTAAACTTAAATATACCATTATATATACAAATATACAAAAAAAAAATAATGTAAACAAAAAAGTTAGATTTTTTAATTTCATAAAACACATTGCATCTAACAAATTAACATCTAAAATTTTAAAATCCAAAATAATGTTTAACATTATTTTGGATTTTATTCTGAACGAATAATCCAACTTAACTAAACATTGTTTTATTGTTTTATAAACATTTGTGCGTTTATTGGAATAATAATAATTGCTTAGAGTTTTTTGGTTGTAAATTAGATTTAAAAAAAAAAGAAAAATAATAAATATTTGAAAACTAACATAATAAAATCTAAATTTGTAAAAGACCAAGAATCTAAAGTTTACAAGAAAAAAGGCTTTTACCTGACGCCAATAACATTCAAATCAAGATCTTTTGCAATATGCAACAATTTTTGTGTACTCTCAAGACTAGCACCAAACTTTCTCCCAAGCTAAAGTACAAGTAAATATATATATATATATATATATATATATATATATATATATATATATATATATATATATATATATATACAGAAGCGATTCTACATAAGACAAGATGAGTGAGGGGAGCGGGTAAACCCTTTAAAATTACCAAATAGCATCTTTAAAAAAAAAAAATAGTCAAATACCTAATTAGCCGACTAAATTCTACAAAAAACCGACTATAGCTTTAAAACCACCTTCATTGGGGGATAGGGAATGTCGCCCCCACAATAAAATTCCCATAAAATTGCATCTGCATATACTCCTTAAACAGTCTATGTCGACCGAACTTTTGTCCGGATTTTGTCCGGAGATGTATATATATATATATATATATATATATATATATATATATATATATATATATATATATATATATATATATATATATATATATATATATATATATATATATATATATATATATATATATATATATATATATATATATATATATATATATATATATATATGTATATATCATAGTTTTACTAGTTTCAAAACCGCATAAAAAAGATGGCCGATGTTTTTGATAACAAAAAGTAAACAAAAAGTAATCAAAATAGAATATTAACTACATACATTAAATAGAGATAGTAATCAAGAAAAATAAATAAATAATAAATATTGAGTATGTAAATCAATATGGTAAACGTTCGAAAAGGAGAATTTGATACGTTCAAAGAAGAGACTAACAAAAAGATTCTAGCACTGGAAGATCTGGTAAAAAAATTACTATCTAAAAATCTTGACTTAGAAAAGCAATTGAAGTTCTTAGAAGATAATCAAGCTCAAATTATTAGCAAAAATAATCAAATTAACAGCAAACCACTTTTTAGTAGCTTGTTTCATAACAAATCTCTTGAACCAGAAGAAACAAGAATACTAACCGCGATTTCAGCTGAAAATAAAGAAAAATCTAGAAGAGAATACCATTTGATTCTACACGGTCTTGATGAATTAAATAAATCAACTGAAGAAAATATACAACATGAAAACGAGCAAATAAAAAAGATCTTTAATTACCTGAAGGTCGATGAATCATTTATTAAACGACACCACCGCCTAAAATCATAAACCGACAAACCTGGTATTGTAATAGTAGAATTAAATAATAAAGAAAAAGTTGCAGACATTTTAAAGTCAGCAAGCAATTTGAAATATAATGTCGAATATAAAAATAAAGTATATATATATATCAGGACTTAACATTTGCACAACGTGAAAGCAGAAAATTGCTTCTAAAAGAAAGATATCGTTTAAATAATGCTGATAATGACAGCATACATAAAATTTTTAACTATGGAATTAAAGGCAATAATTTAAATTGGATTGATTCTTTTTTAAAAAACAGAAAACAAAGAGTGGTAATGGGTGAAGTTGTATCAGATTGGTGCGAGGTTTATAGTGGTGTACCACAGGGCTCTGTATTGGGTCCTCTTCTTTTTCTGTTATATATCAATGATCTTCCCCAATGTATCTCTTCAATCGCAAAATTAAACGCTGATGATACTAAAATCATATCTGTTATAAAAGAACATAATGATCTAACTAATATGCAAAATGACATTGATTTGTTAACTGAATGGTCAAATGTAAAGTTAATGGACTTTAACATAAAAAAATGCAGTGTTATGCACATTGGAAGAAAAAATATTAACTATAACTACACTATAAAGCACGACAATCAAAGTTTTCTTCAAAAATAACAACAAAAGAACTAGACTTGGGTGAAATAGTTTCATCCAATATGAAATGGAATCATCAGGTTCAAGTAACTACAAGTAAAGCACAAAGAATCTTATGTTTAATAAGAAAAAGCTTTACTTATCTTAACACTGAAATGGTAAGGCAACTATACACATCGTTGGTTAGACCACACTTGGAATTCGCAGCTCCAGTGTGGAGTCCAAGTAATAAAAACAATATCAATGACCTAGAAAAAATTCAAAGACGAGCAACAAAGCTAGCCCCTGAACTAAAACATCTAAGTTATACCGAAAGATTGACAAAGTTGGGCCTCACAACTCTGGAAACAAGACGTATAAGAGGAGATCTCATTGCTTTCTTTAAATTAACAACTGGGATTGATAAGATATTATGGTATAAAGAGCCTAATAAAGCTTCTTCCCAGAGACTTCGAGGTCATCCAATGAAATTTGAAAGAGAATTTGCAAAAACAACACCGAGACATAATTTTTTTACAAACAGAGTGATACCTCATTGGAATGCTTTACCTGAAAAAGTGGTTTCTGCAATGACAGTAAATTCTTTTAAAGCTAGACTAGATAAATATTTGTTAATGGCTGTTAAAGTATAAATTTTAAACTTTATACTCCGCGACAATCGTTGTTACAGCAGTTTGTATTATTATTACTATTACTATATATATATATATATATATATATATATATATATATATATATATATATATATATATATATATATATATATATATATATATATATATATATATATATATATATATATATATATATATATTCTTTGGAAACTATAAATTCTCCTTAAATAATTTCTCTTTAATGTATTATCTTAATGTAGTTTCCGCTTTCAGCTGTTGCATGACTTGGGTTGCCTTTAAGGTATTAACTTTCAAGTTAACTTATTTTAAAAACATCTTATATGAATAACAAAAAACTTTTATTTTTTCAAGTTTTTGGTTTATTCTTAAAATGTTTTACAGTATTAATCGTTTAACAATTATAATAGTTTCAATAATATAATAGAATGGGTGCAAATTTAAATAAAATCGTAGGAGGAAGAACGCGAGATCTCCTAGAAGACCTTAAGATCTTGTTGTCGTAAACCGCTTTATTTTTTAATTACATCGTTACATTTATTGTGTTAAATATGTATATTCTTGTCGAAATTATATTCTCCACTAATAACAGAAAAATTATTAGTGAGAAAGATTGATGCATTAATTTTAAAATATTTTAACTTTTTGAAATAGCACAATGAATTTGCTCAAGATAAATTTGCAAATGTGTTTGGTATTACAAAAACTACAAGGAATTTAAGTGCACCCCTTAACATTTGAAAAATGAATTACCTAAAGCAGTAGTAAATGTAATCCTCCTGCTTCAAATAGAAATGTAAAACCTGAAATTGCTTTTTAATATACCAGAATATCCAGAAAATTCTGATGATGATATCAATGTCTCTGAATATACTGTTGAACCCTATGCTAAAAAATTAAAGACAAAGCAATATTCTACTACAGAAACTGCAGTTTATCCAGTAAAACAGACAAATTTAAATTCATCTAAAATAGCAAGAATACATGAACAACTATAATGGAGTGAGAAATTAAGTTTTACTGATCAAATCAAAAATAAAGAAAAAGATTTTCCAACACCTCAGTATGTAGGATGTCAACATCGTGTATTGAGTTTAATTCAAAAGCATTCAACTAAAAAGTTCTTGAAAAGTGAAAATCTCCAAATATATCATACGATTTTGTGCAAGAAGTCAGTGACAACTATCAAATCTAAGAAATAACCTTTAACAAAGCAAACATAAAATTTACAAACATCAAATGGTGTGAAGATATGAAGATGATATAAGAGAGTTCGCTAGTCGCTCGTTCATTTGCTCAGACTTTGTAGAATCGTTTGATGTTGAGAAGAAGATATAGTAGAAGAGGAGATAATAAGAAGATTTGTGTATATTATTAAGTATAGTGAACATTAAGTTACATGTAAAATAGTATTAGTTATATTAGTTAAAGAATTTTTGCTTAGCGAGATGGAGCTTAATATTACAAAGTTATATCTTTGAAATAGAGTATAGATCAGGAAAAATGCACGGGAATATTGACGGATTATCGAGACGCAGTCACAACACAGTCGCAACAATGATCATACCAAGTAAAACAATCGAGCAAATTTTAAAGTGAAGAATGTAACGATCCCTGTAATTCCCACCTAGTATCATTTCTATCAAATAAAAAATTGCCAGAAGACTTACAGGAAGCTGAGAAGGTTTTAGCAATGGAGGGAAAATATCATTTAGATGAGAATGGGTTGCTATTCCATCACAAAAAGCAACTGTCAAAGAAACATAAGCAATTAGCCTTACCTCAATCTCTAAGATCAGAATTAGTTACCTGAGCTCATGATGAACCATGTGGAGGACATTACAGAGTAACGAAAGCCTACAAAAAAATTAGACTGAATTACTTTTGGATTGGTATGTATAATGACATACAAACTTGGATGAAATGCTGACAACCTGTGCTCAACGAAAACGTAGTCCTGCTTTCAGTAAAGCACCCTTTTTACCAATCCCTGTGGAGAACCCTTGGGATGTTATTGAAGCCGATTGTTTGGGATCATTTCCTCCTTTATTAAAAGGAAACCACTATATAGTTGTTTTGGGTTGCTTGTTCACTAAGTATGTAGAAACTTATGCCGTACCCACAATTACCGCAACATCAATTGCTGAACTACTTGTGGATAACATTGTGTTCCGACATGGTGCGCCTATACGTTTTCTGATAGATATACGTAATAATTTTACTAGCAAATAAGTAAAAGAAATGTGTGAAATATTAAATGTAAAAAAGTCTTTCACAACCGCTTATCAATCTCAAACAGATTTGTAGAACGTATTAATTGAGCCCAAGCTCAGAATCTTTCAATGTATGTAGCATCTAACCAACGTGATTGGGAAATTCACCTTCCTGCAGCAGTATACGCAAATAATACCAGTGTATCCGCTAGTACAGGAGAGACACCATTTAGATTAAAATAGGGCACTACTAGCGTATGATACTACTCTGTTACCTAGCAAGTATTAATTACACCTTGATCAGGTTCTAATTTCGCCAATTAACATCGGGTTAATTGAACCTGATCATGCTGGAAATCCAGCTTGATCAGGTTTTATTCTCGCCAAATAACACAATTCTCCACATTCAAGGTTATAGCAAAGATTTTGTGGT